GCTAACACCAGAGCCAGTTGCATAAAAAGCTAAAATCAATAACGTAACTAAAATTAAATAAAATAAATAAATAAAATTAAAATTAAGACGTAAATCAGACGAGACATATCTTTTATTACAAATTTCAAAAGATTTTCGTTATATAGGTTGTTGCCCAATTTCAAAATTTTCCAACATCTTGCTTGTGACATAATAGTCGTTAATGAGATACACATATTTTATTATAAGTGCTCCTGTGAGAGAACTGTACCAAGAAACTTGTTTTTGTAAAGTCGAGAAAATTAAGTTTTTTATACCTACTTTCCCTTTTCCATATTTTTTGGGTACTTTGGTATGAAAAAAGATGCAAAAAAAGGTAACAACGATACCGGCATCATCTTCGAAGAAGTATTCATATTTTTAGGCTTCATAATAATTATCAGTGAAAATAATAAAATATTTATTTTTAAGTCTTCAAAAACTTTTATTTTGAGACTTATATCATAAGTCTTTTCATAATAATGATCATTGCGATAAATATTTTGAAGTCTTCAAAGACTTGTATTTTTAGACTTATATTACAAAAGTCTTTGCACAATAATTATTAGTGCAAACAATTTTTTTTTTTAGAACGGGTATTTTTCAGGACCTTTTCGAGTCTACTTAGGAATTAGTTCGGACCTAGTTGGGAACCAATCGGAAACTTGTTGGCGACCAGTTTAGTATTAGTTGGGGACCAGGAGTAGTTTGGGTCCAGTTAAAAAGTCTCTAACTAATCGTGAAATGGTCCTGAACAAGTCCCGTCATTTAAGACTTAAAAAACTTTTTCGTGCTCATAATTATTATGAAAAGACTTTTATAATACAAGTCTCAAAATAAAAGTCTTTAAAGTCTTAAAATTATTTATCTCGCTAACAATTACTATGAAAAGACTTTAATAATATAAATCTAAAAAATAATAGTTATCGTTGACTTACAAATTTTTTCTCACAAAATACTTTTATAATTCTTACGAAAGTTTCGAACACTTTTTTCAAACTCCGTTATGCGAACTTAACGACAGACGTCTCTGTTTTTAATTATGGCGTGGTTGGTGAGTAACACAAAAGTTTAAAATTAGTTTACTTTTTATTTCAATCAATATTGATTAAGATGTGGCAATGCCTTAAGATAAATAACGAGATAAAAAAAATTTTAGTTTTAGTAAACCCGGTTATTGAAAGACAAGTATCAAGTAGTTAACTACATTGCCTTTATTCGACTTCCTGAATTAGGTTTTACTACGCTGAAGTGAATCCAGTTTAAATTGCTCATGTACGTTTTGTTGTTGTTGCAGTTGCAGAATTCAATTACCAACACATGCTTATACTCTAGACACAATTGCCAACAATCAAATAAATTGCCAGCAAATAATGAAAATCACAAATAAATTCACTTTTAGTCAACAATTAAAGCTTCATAAATCTCTACAGCATTTTTGGAGAGTAGCAGCTGCAACAACAGCCAACAGATCCATTGTGCAATTTCAAGATATATTTTTTCCAACTACTTTTTTATTTTTTTAATGGCAACTAAATGCGTTATTTGGCGGCGCTATTGCGCTCTGCTGCCAGAATGCCCGCCACATAAATCCTTGCGGAGTTGGCGGCGAGACTAGACTAAATTCGCAGCAGGGAATGCGCTCTGAGTTCAGTAGTCTAGCGGCGCTAAGCAGTGTACAGTTAGTCTGCTGCTGCTTAATCCAATGCATTGCGCTAATTCACTGGCAGCAGCCGCTGCAGCTCAGCAACTACGCAACGAAAAAGAGTTGAGTTGGCCTTGCAGGTACTACGTGCATAGATGTGTCAGGGATGGGCGCCACTGAGCTAAGGCAGTCAACCTCATTGCTTTTTTCCAGCGTCTAATTGAGTTGTACACGCTACTAATTGCATTTGATTCTTATGGTTGCCATAAAATACCAGCAACGTCAACGAGCAGCAGTGGAGTTGAGTTAGAGAGGCAGAAGGTGTGAAACAGCGAGCAGCTTCAATTTGATTTTTTTTTTGCCCATATCCTAGCAGCAATGGCATTTTCGAAGACATTGATAGTTCCTGAAGGTAGTCAGAGTAACGGAAAGCAACGAGCTGAGATGGTAGTCGAAGGGGGGGCAGCGCTCGGGGAACGGTTGCTAGTACAGGATCACCGCTATGCGATGCTATAAAATTTTTCTTGAAATAATTAAATTTTATTACAGCAAATGAACCCGAATTGAACGAACCGAACAGCTATGCAGTTGCGCTTGGCGAAGTGAATGTGTGTGTGTGCGTGTGTCGGTGTGCTTGCGAAATTTATTGTTTTTTCTGCCATTTTTCACTCACTAACTCTCTCTCTCTCTCTTGCTTACTCACTTTTAATTAAGAAGCAATCATTAAATTAAACCAAACTCATTTTGGTGTGCAATAAAAACGTTGTGGCCTTTTTGCCTTTGTGGCATCGTAGGTGTTAAGTCGTCACTACTGCGGCAAGCCAACAAGCAAGCAAGCAAGCAGGCTAAGCGCAATGCGGTGAGGTGCTTAAATTCGCGGCAATGAGGGAGGAGTAAAAACATTTTTTGGTCGATAAAGCTTTCACCGGCACCTGATGCGGTCGCTCTCGCTGCCGCCGCCGCTGCCTCTGCCAATCAAATATTCACTTCGTTACATGTGTATGTACCTATGCATGTATGTGTATAACTGCTATTTTTTAATTGCATAAAAATGCAATTTCGGCGCAAAAGTGAGTGCAAGCGCATTGGTAAAGTGATTAGAGATGCCAAAAATCGCATTACGAGAAATAAAAATTTGATAGTTCAGGATATTGATGCTGTTATATATATTTCTATTTCAATGCAATGCACAGATTTACTTTTTTAGCGTTGGCGGCAAAAAAATTTAATACGCCAGTAAAAAGTAGTTTTTCATAGATTTACAGAATTACTCTTCATATGTTTGTCAGCATGATAAAAACATTACAAGGTAAATTCATTTTCTCAATTTGCCGGCCATGACTTTTTTTCTCAAAGTAAGTAACCTGGTTTGATAAAATACCACTTATCAGTACTGTAGCTAAATGCCTCAAGAGTTATGAATGCATCATGAAAGCTTTAGATTATTTGGCCTAAGCCGGCTCTCCCTTTTTCATGAATTGTTTCTGTCAGTACGGCACTTATAAAATAAATCTCCATATAACAAATTGAAAATACTTCTAGAGATTTTTTATCCTTCCAGAGATATGTATGTACATATTAAGAAAATTTTCTTAGAACTCTTCGGTTTAACTCTCATATTTAAATATTTAAATGCATGGCATGCGACGAAGCCTACTCCAAAACCACATTAGAACATTCACCATCTTGTTTAGATAGGTCGCAACTAAGCAAGCTCGGCCCGACTTTCTTCTTCTATCCGCAGGAAATTGCAGGTAATTGGATTGGAAAATTATGAAAAGTATGCTTCCGCTTTTTTGGTAACACGAAGAACCAGCTAATATTTTATGATATATCACAGATCAGCCGAGTTTATCCAACTTTAATAATTTAGGCATCGTTAGCTGGCTTTTGACCTTGACCTAATATTAAATTTGACCTGCCGTCGGATTTCAACAACCGCTATCCCAGTTTTGATAGTCACAAATTACCAACAACCCCCTTAAAAAATAGTTATGTGTTCTTTATTCGCGTGCCCGGGAGACGATGTAGTTTTCGCAAAAAAAAAAAATTAACTGTAGGGATAGCTATCATAACGCAAGATAGATTAAATTAATTTCAATGAAATTAAAACTACAAATCGCAGAATCCTTCCAACCACTCTGCCCCACAGCTGCAGACTTTGGCGCTGGTAAAGCGATAATTGAAAAGAATAATGAAATTAAATAGAATGGGAAAAAGTGCGAAAAAAACGAAGAGAAAGATACAAGACAAACAAAATGCACCTGTTATAAAACCTGGCAAAAAAGTAAAAAGAAAATGCCAAAGAAAACATCCAGCTTGTCTCACTTGCAGGTGCACTAACCCAGTGAGTTATATAGCGACTACTACGAGCATAAATGCTGCTGTTATGTATTATCATAAAGGCGACAATGATGAAGAAAATGGTAATGATGTTGATGATGCTGTTAGTTGCTTGACAAGAAGCAAAAAAAAAATATAAAACAAGAATAGCATCTTTGCTGCTGACTCTTTATGGTGGGTGATGCGGTTGTTTTGCGCTCTTCTTGGAGCTGTTGATGGCAATGACGCTGGAGTGAGCGCTGTAATTCCAAAGTTGATGGAAGGAGATGAAAAATACAAAGCAAACAGATGCAGCATTTTTGAGTGACGGTGCTTAAATTTAGTGGGCCACGTATGTATATATGGGAGAGCTGCTTCTTAAGACACGGTTAGCTTGGTTTTGCTTTAGTTAAAAAAAGTTTGAAATTTGATGGATCACCCTCTGCTGTATCACATCACTCTTAAAGGAATATAAGCATTGAATATCCTTGAAAAAAAAAAAAAACAAATGCCAGAAGACTAAACAAGAGCATTTTAATTGAGTCTTCGATAAATTTCAAATCATTTGGCTCGAGGAAGAAATCTGAGTTGGTTTTTATAACGTACGTAACAGAATATAAAAACCTAAACTAAAAAGTAGCGCCGTGAACCAGTCAGCTAGGCTACAACAAAAGCCACCAAACACGGAAATATAAGTTCCAAACCTTTCGCTATGATAAAAAATACGTTTATAAAAAAAATACTTGTATATTTTTTTGTTGAAAAAAATCATCAAAAACTACAAAAAATCAGACAAAAAAGCGAAAATTATTAAAATCACATAAAAATCACAGCCACGTCAAAAAGTACCAGTTTGTAGGAGTCAGTAGGTTCGCAAAGTATTGCTTGTTCATCAAGTAAAACAGATAAGTCCGTCAGTCCAATCCCCATTTGTCCTCTCTCCTAATTCGTAACCCTTGGTCTGTCTCTCTCTTCTTAACTCCTCTACATTTAATTTTCCTTCACAACCCCTCTTTCAATCGACAATGATTACTTCATCGACGAATAGCACATCGTCGCCACCTTCAACGTTGTCATCATAAAACTCGTCAAACGCATCCTGCCATTCGCCATAATCATCCATATCATCGCCCATTTCGTCTTCATCCACCGTATCGTAATCGTAGTGATCGTGGTCGTCATTATCTTCATAGTTCTCGTCGTCATATCCATTGAAAAAGTACAGGTCATCGTCCTCATCATCCCCATCTTCTTCGTCGTCATCCTCTCCGTCTGATTCCTCGTCTTCTTCCACATCAACATCATCACCCAATGCCTCTTCATCTTCCTCTTCTACATCTCCTTCCCCAAATTCTTCCTGTTCATATCCCACATTTTGCTCCCAGTTCGCTTCTAAATCCGCTGCATGCAACTCCTCGGCTTCTTCATCTTCACCTGCAGCTTCGCTTGCACTGACGGTCGATGCTGAGTTCGTAGGCGTGCTGATGCTGACTGCATTGCCAAAGGTGGTGCCGGTGTTGGTGCCGAACACATCCAATTCTACAGCCATTGCCATGTACTCTTCCAAGAAGTGGATTTGTTCAACGGTTGCTTCGGCGGCAGCTTCTGACAGCGCAGTGGCAGTGACTGTAGCTGCAGCTGCTGTCGCAGCGGCGATGGTGGCTGATGATGGATTTAGGCGCATACGTGTGGGCCCCAGCTCGCTGCTACTGCTGATGCTGCTGATCACGGTGGCTGAAGTAGTGGCTGTTGCGCCATCTGTCGTTTCCGAATGCTTCCGCTTGACCTGCTCGAAGCGTGTGAAAGTGAGGCGATAATATATATTCTTCAATTAGGGGAGGAAAAGCAAAGCAATTTGTGCTCAATAACTTACTAAACGGCGCTTCTCTTTCATCGAACCGCGGCAGATGGGGCAGCGATTGGCCCAGGCATACTTCTGATACGATTTATAGACATCCAGGCAATCCTTGCAGAATGAGTGTCCGCATGGGATGCGCACCGGGTAACGTTTCTCGTCCAGACACAGCACGCAACGTTCGCTTTTGTTTCCGCCACTTAAGGTTTTGTTATCGATAACGCAAAGGTTGGTTGCTTTGAGCTTTGCTAACTTTTTCGAATCGCTGTTAGCGTCGCTGATTTGGCTGTAGTTGGGACTGCTGCTGGAATTTATGTTATTGTTATGATTATTGTTACTATTATTGTTGTTGTTGCCAGTCATGTTATTCATGATTCGTGTGCAGTTTTGGCCAATCCCTTCTGAGCACGACTGTTTAGTCAGTTCAAATCTCGATCTGATTCGGCCTGTCAATTTGCTGACAACTTTTCTATTTATGTCTCGCTTTGTATGTTTTCTGTTATTGTTGACTGTTGAATGCTTCAAGTACTTGACGTTGGTATATTTATTGCTGCTGTTGTTGTTACTGTCTTTTTATGATAGTTTTTGGCGTCGACGTTTGGCTAGAATTCAGCTAGCTTGAAATTATAGACTTGTATAGTACTAGAAATAAATTATCTGATAAAATTTAGTATAAAACTGTTTCGTGAATATTTATATTTTTAATTTGAAAACAAGTTTCTTAAAAGAACACAAAAAGCGTTAGCATTTAATGTGGCATGTGAAGTAGCAAGCTTAGGTAGGGCAGTTGGGTAAAAAATAAAGTTAAAGTTGTATACAAGAAACACACCGTGCGAAAAATATTATGCTCTCGAAATTCTGTAGCACCCTTCTTTGCAAATCTTTTTTTATTTAATCTTTTTTAATCGTTAATTAAAAGAACACAAATTATGACCTTCCTAGACGAATGCCTTTTTCTGAGGTAAGTCTGTGGATGAATTGAAATATTTTAGCATTTGCCTGACTGAACAAATTCACACGTTGTGGCCAACCTTCTACACATACAGGTGTTACTCCTGTGTATATGCGAGCAAGGACGAATAAGACGCTTTCCTGGCTCGAAAATTTATAGTCTCGAAGAAAATCAGTTCGGGGCGACAAAACTATGCCGACCTCATAAAGACGAGGTTGCCCATCAAACTGCCAAAGTACGTACAAGGCTTAGTCGAAATAATGTGCGATAAAGCCGCTGTATTAAGGTCGAGGTGAGACAAATTTTTTTTTCTACTGGTCCACATGGTCCGTGTGGCTCAACTAAGTGTCTTTTCTTGGTAAAACATGCAAAGCTTTTTGTCACAGAATATCTTACTAGCACACCAATTTTATAACAACTTTCGACGACATCTCAATCTACTCAATCTCCTGTAGTCTGAATAAAAGGATATCGACAAAAAGGAGTAAATTTTGGCTAGGGATAAGAAATACCAGGTCTTTAAAGCATAATGGCGAGCCGACAAACCGTAGAACGGCCAGTGCCCTTGAGAAGCTCCCTAGGTGGTCAGGACACCACGGAAGTAACTTACTGAGTAATATTGCAACGTTAAGCTAAGTGTACACGGTAGAGAAATCTCGCAATTTTAGGAGATATGTATTCAATCTAGCTAGAGTCAAAGTAGAGAAATCTCACGTACTCTACTAGCGGTGTGCGTGTATGTATGTGTATCAGAACCCCGATTTAGAAACTAAAGGTGGCACCATACGCGGAACGCTAACCCTTCGTCGTTTTGACAGCATTCACCTAATCGATGTCGTCATAAGCTAGTTTTTCTCACTAGGGATGAAAATAATACTTTGAAATTGTACTTACATATATAAATAAATGTACCTAAAGACTAACATCCAAATTCATAAAAAATAAAGAAGACTTTAACTGCTTTATAAATCGAAAATTTGTATGAAAATGTCACTTTATAAAGCTCAATAAATCTATTTTATTTTTTTTTATGAATTAGGCCATAAATTTGTATTTTTATGTGTATAAATTTTCGATAGTAGGTGGCACCCTCTCCCTTCGGTAGCACGTATACTTTTGGAGTCACATCAAACAATCTATGCTATTAACCGTTTCCATAAAAGGAATTTCTCAGTGCAGATTTAGCCCAAACTGTATATGTAAGCAGGCCACTTGCTCAATTTAGTGATTACCCCTTATGTTTTAACCAATATTTGTGCTCCTTTTCAAAGTAGGGAGACTATTGAAAAAGCCGTTGAAATTACTATGAAAATAAGAGAAAATTTCTCAATAAGTTACATGACTACATTTTAAATGTACCTAAAATGGTGTGCTTGTACCGAATATAAGATTTAATGTCCTAGCTACTTCAAAATTTAAAAAACTGTGGTGAAATTCATTTGCAAGACTTTACCATCGCCTCCGTAGAGCAAAAACTCTATTTAGCTTGCCAAATGGAGCGTAGAGTTCTCGCAGAATTTTCGATCTAGTTGCGATGGACTGTGTACACGGCGAAAAATTCTCGTTAAATAACTCTCCCCAGGCTGCGTAAGTGAGTCTCTCGTAGAGCTCTATTAAGTGTTTACACGTCTCTAATGAGATTTTCGTCTAAGTCTCGCGTTTCGAAAACGCTCTATCTCGCAAAACTTCTCAAGAACGCCCTACTTCAGAATTTGATTGAAAAACTCCCTATCTCAGAATTCGGTTTAAAAACTGCCTGAAAGAATTAAAATTATTTAATACCGAAAATCGATTCTTAGGGTAATCTGAAGTTTGCCTCCCTGTGCGACACGCCTTAACCGTATCCAATCGGGAACAAAATACATATGTGATATCTTCACTTTAGTGGCAGCGACATATGAGGTGAGGCTTTGGAAATCTGATGTAAAAATTTGCTTCCTACATTTAAGGATCATCCTAATGTACATATATATGTAGATAAGTTGGTATGTGTGTACATAGCTGTGAGCTCTACCCGATGAGATTTTGCTCTTATGGTACTATTTTTATTTTAAAATTACATCTGGCTAATTTACCTTACTTCGTCCCTTTCAGCATACATATGTATGTATGTATGTATGTACATTTCAGTGTATACATTTGGTTGGCGCGAGTGTACAAATCTTATTTAAAATTTATATGGTTTTAAATGCACCGTGTACACGATAAATGAGATACCAGCACAGGTAATTTCAGACATATAAATAAAAATGAACACACTGCAACCCAGCAGGAAAAGGGAATCTCTGCAAACACATGTAGTGAGAGAACTCGAAGCAGATTAATTTTCTGGCAAGAGAATAGGTTATGAAATCTACTTCAACATTGCCAAGATTCGGTCCTTCATTAAATCATCTATGTTGCCGCTCTGGTAGCAACTCAGATATTTGATCATAATTTTAAACAAAAAGTTGACCTTGCGAACATTGTAAAGAACTAGATCCACAATACCGGCTTCGACTAATCTTTCGGTATTTAATCGGGGTTATTATCGACCACACTGCTTGATGTTAAGGCAGCCAAGAGAATAGGTCTCCAGTCGACTGCCTTCTGTTACAGCTGCCAACATTCCTTTCGCCAGTACTTTATTGGAAGTATGGGCTGAACTGAGGGCAGCTAGTTTCTGCGATTTTGTGACCTTCGTCAGAACGACGAAATTGTTTCACTTCCAGGGAAGTAAAGAATTAATGCTGTCATAATGGGCTCATCTGAGTGTGCCCCCTTTCAACGCCGAATGAGGGCAGCCGCGATAATCTATCCTAACTTAGTCTGGGACCCATTGGAACGTGGGTGTTCATGCCAGATTAACTTGCTCCTTCTCGTTGAACATCAACGGTAGCTTAGCAACTTGTTACGGTATTCTAATATTTGTCTGATGGCTCTGCCCAAACTCACCTATTCCAGCTTGCATTAACCCTCTGGGACTGATGTGGTAGTTTGACAGACACCGAGAGTTCGAAACTTTTCCCGAGCTTCAATAGCATTGATTACTAAAAACTCCTATTTTTCGTCATATAGTCATATCATTAATAAGTATTAAAAATATAAATATATAACTTATATATTTTGATCTGGAAACTTAGTGTCTCAGAGACTACTCGTCAGTAAAATAGGGACATTTTAGTCACGTCAGTAGCAGAGGGTAAAGCTTTGCCTTTGGAGATCAGCTATTTGGATAGGATTTTTTTCTTTTTGACAATTCAGGTGCTCCTTTTCCGACCGGGATATAACGGCACATATACTTTTGTATACATACTCACATATGTATATACAAAAATTAACCATTCTGCTTCTGCCTGTAGTCTTGAAAAATGTTCTTTCCAGGCTATTAGTGGAGTTGACATTTCAGCAAAAAAAAAAAACGAGAAAAATGAATTTGCACTGCTATTAAATAGCCAACGTGTGAAGAAATTTACGTAAGTAAAATTCCCATTCAAAGGAGAAGTGAAAAGCAGCATTCACAGCTCTTGTACGCGCACATGTTTGTACAAGTATTTTCAAGCCAGCATACGTTGCTACTTAACTATTAGATCTAGATCGTAATTTCATACGCCTTTAACTTGCTATCCTATGGTACACAGAGTGCTGCACTATCGCTTTTATTGCTATGCTCAACGCCTTTCCTTTAAATGGCTTTGATGCGCTTTCAACGCCTGCATTCATGCAATGTTTATTCGAGCGTAAGCCTTTTGTTGGTTGCCGTGCAGCCAACATTAACAAAGCGTATTGAGTGTCAACCAACTGGACAGCAGCAGCTATGAGAATGTCTTTCATGAATAATAGCAAAAGAATATATTCACATATGTATGTAATTGCATAGATTCATGTGTGCGTGAATGTGAACTCATATATATGTATGTACAAATGTGCTTTAGCTAGAATTCATTAGCTAAATGCATGGCTGTAAAATTGCATAATTTCTTAACATAAACGTAGGAGTTCTTTTACTGCCAATTAGTTGTATACTTTCAGGCTGTATGCATCCTATAAACGACTCAGATTATTTAGCTTCAAGTTGGAAATAATTGTTACATATATTTGTTTAGACAATTACCAAAGCATAAATATTTGCTACAAGTTAAGTGGTTAATAAATAAATGTTTTCCTTATAAAAAAATAAAAAATTTATTTACCCACACACTTGCACATGCCAGTTTGCCAGCTTTGCAGAGTTAAATAATTTAGGTTTGGAAAACTTCAGTATTAAAGATTTGCAAAATATGCAGGAAGAAATATTTCGGCCTGAAAGCAAATACCGAGTGCTGAAACGCCTGAATGTATGCAAGAAAATCTCAGTAAATGCTGCAAATAAATATTGGTTGACCGGCTGTCTGGCTGTGCGCCCGTATGCCTGTCTGTGTGTTTATTTTGTGAACTCTTC